CCAAAGAGGTCAAACAATACCCCCAAAATAGTCCCCATATGATTTTGGGACTATTTTTGGATTATTGTTGGTGTCTTTTTTTTATTTTTCGTCGAAAATCTCCCTGTAGGGGGACAGGTCCGATCTAATTATAGTCTGCACCCTGGCGGTCCTCGCTGCTTTGCCCTGCCACCGGGCGCTGCAGTCGTGGGATGGCAAGTCCGCGCAGCGACAGAAAAGGCGGGGGACGCCTGCCGACTCGGGCAGGGTGGGGGAGCGACGGAGCGGCACGCCCCCCCCCTTCCTCCTCCTCCTCCTCCTCCTCCTCCTCCTCCTCCTCCTCCTCCTCCTCCTCTCCTCCTCCTCCTCCTCCTCTTTCCTCCTCCTCCCCTCCTCCTCCTCCTCCTCCTCCTCCTCCTCGCTCCTCCTCCTCCTCCTCCTCTTCTCCTCTCCTCCGCGCTCCCTGCCTCCTCCTCCTCCTCGCTCCCTGCCTCCTCCTCCTCCTCGCTCCCTGCCGCCTCCTCCTCCTCGCTCCCTGCCTCCTCCTCTCCTCCTCCTCCTCCTCCTCCTCCTCCTCGCTCCCTGCCTCCACCTACTCCTCGCTCCTTCTCCTCCTCCACCTTCCCCCTCCTCCTCCTCCTCCTCTCTCCTCCTCCTCCTCCTCCTCCTCCTCCTCCGCCTCCTCCTCCCGCCTTTCCCCCGGTGGGCCTGCGGGGCGCCTCCTTGCGCACATCGTCCCTGTCGCCCTCGTCCTCGGAGAGGCAGAGCTCCGCCTCCTGGGGCGGCGACGGAGCGACACCGGTGGGGGACCTCAGCTCCTCTCCCTCCTGCCTCCTCCTCCTCCTCCACCATCTCCTCTCCTCCTCCTCCTCCTCCTCCTCCTCCTCCTCCTCCTCCTCCTCCTCCTCCTCCTCTTCCTCCTGCCTGGTCCTCCTCGTCCTCCTCCTCCACCACCTCCTCGCCCTCCTCCCCGCCCCGCCTCGTCCTCGTCCCTCCTCCGTCCTCCGCCCTCGTCGCCCTTCCTTCCCGCGCCCGCCGTCCTCCACGGGCAGGAGGGGGATCTTCGATCTGAGCAACGAGCATAGAAGCAAAGAACACAGCATAAACATAAACGTCTGGCGCTCCGCGCGGATTTCTTGGATCTGCGCTGGACCCCCCTCCCTGGCGCGCGGAGCGCGCCAGGGGCGGCGCCAGAGGCGTCGCCCCGTGGGGGGGGCCAGGGCGGATCTGAGGAATCCGCGCGGAGCGCCAGCAAAATTAATGATGTTTATGGCGCTGTTTCGTCTTCGAGACCATTCTTCACGTCGCCGGCACTGCATCCCCAAACCCGCCACCGCGCCGTCAGCACACCGTGGGGTGATTGCCGCAGGGCTCGTGCAAACCCGAGAGGTATTTGGAAGGTTCTGGGAGGAGGAGGTGGAGGAGGAGGAGGAGGAGGAGGAGGAGGAGGAAGAGGAGGAGGAGGAGGAGGAGGAGGAGGAGGGAGGAGGAGGGAGGAGGAGGGAGGAGGAGGAGGAGGAGGGTCTCGGACCACCTGTTTCCCAGGCGCTCTTGGGCGCTGCTGGCCGCTGCCGGGGTGTGTCGCGTTGGCCTCTGGGACGGCGACCCTTTCCCCACAGAGCCCCCCAAAACGGAAGAGGGCCCCAGGAAGCTCCCAGCAGGGTCCAAGACGCCGCCGAGACGGCCTAAACCCCAGAAGTGGAGGCCTGGAAATGGGCACTAACACCAACACAAGGGGGTTTGCCTCCACAGGGGGAAGATGATCCTAGAATTTTGGTGTTGGTGGTAATCTTTCGGCCACCTGGGAGCCCAAACATTACCACCATCGCCGAGATCCGGATCGCCATCCCTCTGTGGATGCATACCACCGACATTGGTGTTGGTGTCAACCTCCAGGCCTGCGACAGAAATGTCTTCAAGGCGGCCCCAAAGGCCCCCGAAACACCCCAAGAGAGCTCCAAGGGGAGCCCCAAAGCTGGCCCCAAGCACAAACACCGTCCCGATCCCTTGGGGAAGCGCATCCTCTTAGCATGGTCGCCTTTCTCGTCATCGCAGCATCCAAGACGGCCCAAGAGGCCCCCAAGACCGCCACAGGGCCGCCCACACGGTCCCTGGAGAGCCCCAGCGGGCCCCAAGACGGCCCAAGAGGCGCCCAAGACGGCCCAAGAAAGCCCCAAGACGTTCACTAGAGGGGCCCAGGAGCGGGAGCCCGAACCGACAATTCGAGCCTTCCGTCCTAAGATCCCCCAGGCGGCCCCAAGAGCCCCCCAAGAGGCCCCAAGAGGCTCCAAAAGCCTCCAGAGAGGGCCCCACGAGGCCAGAAGAGGCCCAACAACTACCCCAAAGAGGCTTCAAAAGTGCCTCCGCCAGGCCCCTGCATGCCTCCCGCTGCACCCCAACGAACATCCCCATTACCGTACGACCCACAACCCAGAGCTCACCCAGAGCCACCTGGATTTCGGTGTTGGTGGCAATCTTTCGGCCACCAGAGTGACCGCAACCGAGGCCCACCCAGAGCCACCACCCAGTCTGCCTCCCAGTGCCCGTCTGTCGCCCGACTGCCTCCCAGTGCCACCGCTGCTGGCGGGCCAGCGCAGAGGCGGCCTCTGGCCCCAACCGGAAGCACCCCTACCCCCGCTCCCTTATTGTATCCTCTGTCTCCCTCTCCCCGGGCTCCGCCGTCTCCTGGGCCGTCCCCCGGGGGTCCCCCTCGCCCCCCTCGCGCGCCTCCCTCTCCCGCCTTGCCCGGCCCAGCGGGCTTGGAAGCGAGGGCCTCGACCGCCCACAGCCGTGGGCTCAGCAACGCAGGGTTGGTGCCAAACCCGAACTACGAGACGTACCGAAACGGGACGGAGGTTTGTGTTGCTCCCATCCTACTTCAGGACCGCATCCCAGAAATAATTTCGAGCAAAGTGTCGAAGGAGTGTCGAAGGAGTCTCGAAAGAGTGTCTCCCAGGGCCCGACACGTGAAAGCCCTAGATTTTCGGGGTGTTTTCCTGGCGCTCGAAATTCATTCTGGTCATCAAGGCTAAAATAGGTTGGAACATCATAAACGGAGGCTGGGGGTGAACCGCCAAACCCCGGGGCCCTCGGGCCCTCGGAGGGCCCAGGCCGCGCGCGGCCGCCAGCCTGCAGCCGTCTCGGCCAGGCAGTGCCGCAGAAGGCGGCCCAACGACGACGACGCCGACGCCGACGACGATCACGACGACGACGACGACGCCGACGACGACGCCGACGACGACGACGCCCGACGACGACGACGAGGGGCGAGCACGACGACGACGTCGACGCCGACGCCGACGCCGACGCCGACGCCGACGACGACAGCGCTCTGCACTGCTCCGTCGCCGCCAGAGGGGGGGTGGTTCAGGGGGCAGCTGGGGGGGCGGGGGTGGGTCGAGGCAGGATCGGAGCCAGAGCACCGCTCGCTGGCCGCGCCCGCCGCCGCTTGCCACTCGCCTGCGTTTCTGAAGGGGCCCTGGGACACACAAATAAATACACACCAATCAAAGCATCCCCATATCTTTTCCCATATCTTCTGGGTTTTGTCTTCCCCCCCACTTCCCATATTTTCCAATATTTTCGGGGGAATCGAGGGTTAATTGTGTCTGTGTTTGTTTCCCTCCTGAGTTTCTTACCGCAGCGGCTACTAGGAGGAGGGGGCGGCAGGGAAGGTTTGGATGGAGGAGACGACACGCCCACTGCGAAAGCCTCGTGATTCAGCCAGATGGCGCGAGCATCCGGCCTCACATTGCAGCCGCTGTGCCGCGGCTTGGCCATCCTTCTGCTGGTCCAGACCATCCAACAACAAAAACATGTTTACATGTCTTGTTTCACGTCATGCTTGTGTTCTTATTTTTCCCTGTGGATCGGATGGTTTGGGGGGTTCCAATGCCTAGACTTTTCAACCTGCCGCAAGGGACCGACCAAGCCAGTCAAAGGGAACCCCACCTTGCAACAGCACGCCCGCTGGACCTCCCTGCCCTGCACCCCTCGGTCCAGCACAAGGCCGTTTGCCGACTCGTAGCGGCTTCGATGTGCGACATACGCGAAGACGATCGCGCGTCCCTTTCCTCGCAGCCCTTGTGCCCGCGGCTTGTACCAGGGCCTTGTCTAGCACCGCCCTTCTCAGGGGACGCCGACGGGGACACGGCTTCACCCACCACGAGCCCCGAGTCCTGGCCTTCTAAGAAGGCCCCGAGCCCCGATGGGTGGCAGGCTCCTGTGCCCACGCACCAGGAAAAACGCAGGCACACGCAGAAGCCTGCGGGGCTGCGTGAGCACGAGCCGGGGGTGCCCGGGCACGGCCCGGCGAGGCCACCGGCAGTGAAACAGGGTGGTGCGGCCGCGGCCGGGGCCGATCCGCAACGCCGCGCGGGTTCGTGTCGTGACGACCCTGGCGTTGGTCTCTGACACCGCGTGGATCGCTCAACCAGGTCAGAAGAAGAACAACCGCCATAATCATTCACTTCTGGGGGGGTCCAGCACGGATCCAAGCAATCCGCGCGGAGCGCTCAAAGGTTATGTTTGTGCCGTTTTTCTTCTTCGATCAACTTTGAACGTTCGGCTGCTTTCCTGATCGCTGGATCGTTCCAGATTGGCCGATTCTGGCCACTGGCGGCGTTCCACTCTGGCCGCCCACGGCGGGGTCGCCGCCGCTTCGACACGACACGAACCTGCAGCAGCTGCTTCGAGAACGAGCGCTGTGATGATGGCAATCCGGCGGTGGTGATCTCTTTCGGACCCAAGCCCCGTGTTTGATCAGTGCAGTGCCGAGAAATGTGCCCGAGCTGGGGCAAAACCGCACCAGAAAACCGAGTGACCCCCCCCCCCCCTCCAGACATCCGAAGTCGTGCGTCTGTCAGCGTGGCTCCACAACGAGGTTTGGATCTCTTCCCTGCAAACGGGCATTTCGTCCCGAATCGCATTGGGCAAGGGCCCACGGAGGGGCAACAAAAACGGCAGGCAAAAATGCCGTCGCGGTGTTCTCCACAACGAGCCGCGATAAGGGACCCCCTTCCCCCTTTTCTTCCGCCCATCTCCCTGCCGCGCCGTCCGCGTGGCCACTAAAAAAACAGATGTTCACGAGTGCAGCGCCGTGTGCGCCGACGGCCAGCCGTCAGACCCCGAGCAGGCCAAGTTGCCACAACGCCAGCCCAGAAGCAACCCTCGGACCCCTCCAAGGGTGGTCCACATGCATCAGCTTTCCGAGCTGCCCGCAGCCGTGGCGACAAGCCCCCCCCGAAGGCCACCTCGCCCTCGCCCGAGAGAAGATCGCGCCGGCCGTCCAACGCGTGCGAGGTGCGCCCGGCGAACTCCGCCGCTCACGCCGCAAGTTGGCGCCGGGAGGGGTAGCTCTCCACCTCGACGCGGGAGTGCACGGGATGCGCCTGGGCCAGGGGCTGGTCGAGGCTGACGTGGAAAATCCGGGGCTTGACGGACGCCCGCTCCGCTCCTTGGAGGAGCCCGGAGGGGGTGTCGCGAGGGGGGCGGGCGTCGACGATGGCGGAAGGGCCTCTTAGAAGACAGGGGCCTTCGTAGAAGGCCCCAGACGCTTCTAAGAGAAATCGTCTTAGAAGCCAGGCGGGCATCCAAGAAGCCCCCCTGCCCTCTTAGAAGTCATGCCGCCTTCGTAGAATCCCTCGCGCCACCCCCTTTGGGGCATCTCGAAACACCGTCGTCTCCGCCGACGCGGAGGCGCGGCATGAGGCACAAATTGAGGCGGTCGATCCCGATGTCGTGGTCAGATGCCAGCCTCAGCCGTTCCCCCTGGAGGCTCAAGTCTCTAATCAGATCCAGCGTAGCGCCGTGAGAGCGCAGCAGGTGCAACGACTGGGTGGTCTCGATAGGGACGGAATGGAGAAACGCCGTCGACAGCAAATGTGAGATGCCGTTGACAAACTCATCCTCGTTTATCGTGCCCGAGTTGTCGGTATCAAGAAATTCGAACATGTCGATCAGCTGGTCCGAAGCTAAGATCCTCATGAGGTCGTCTGGCAAGTCGTACAGTTTCTGTTGCTCCACTTGCGCTAGCCCGTCCTGGACCTCACCGAGAGGCATCTCTCCTCTCTTAGACCTATCGATGTCCTGGAAGAGCCGATGAAGGAAGGGCGAGTATTTCTTCATCTTCTTTTTGAGGACGTGCGTCTGCATTTCTCGGTCAAGCGCGCCCTGCGCAATGGCCTTGTCCACGATGACTGCGGTCACCTGGGGCCGCCGAATAAAAATAAGATGAACTATTGAGAGAGAAAGTCTGGCTGAAGACTTGAATTCCCACGTGGGTGGTCAATGTTGAAATGCGATATGCTGACTACACGAATGCACGCTGACGAATAGTGCACTGCCAGTCCAAAACGCACCTGCCTCTATAAAGGAAGCGGCGTTGGGTCATTCAACGTACCTTCTGTTCCCGATTGCAAGATGCCTACAACAACCGTGCAGTGACACGCCGATAGTAAATGTTGAAATGCGATCTGCCAACTGATGGCATACGCGCACGAGCGACGACTAGGATACTGTCGAATCAAATCGTGCCTGCCTCTCTGGTAGGGGAGGCCACCCCAAGCCTCACAGCCCCCTTGCAACCAAGATGCTCCACATCTGCCTTCATCGGGCCATCCACCTCCTGCGGTTATCATCTGTTGCCTTGCACTGGGCATGCATGAGTAAGATGCCTGTCGCGCCTCTCCGCGCTGGAAGATCCGGATTTAACGCAGCAGCAGCAGCAGAGGCAACGAAGGCGCGGACGGAGCCCAAGGGAGCAACAGGCTCGAGGCACACGACTTGAGGCGTCAACATCCTGTTCCCAACTCACACCCCTCCCCCTCCTACTGTGCCCTCCACCCTTCCCCTCCTGCAGCCGCGACCACACGCAAACGAGTTCGAAGACAGCAGGCACGCAACAGGTACAGAGTGACAGTCACGCGAATGCCAGAGTTCAACAGGCAAACGAACTCGCGAAATCTTGGCTTGCGCAGTGGATCTCTAAAGCCGTGGTAAATATATACACATATGTATATACACAAATGGCGATTTCTCGTTTATTCTGTCACTTTCTATTGGTCCCCAACTTCCCCTGGCACCGGGGGCAACCCAAGCAACCACTCCGTCAATGGCGCCTCTCGGACCACGTCCTGGAACCTAGTTGTGCGGACGTCTCAGGCGAAACAGGCCAGAGCGCCTCAATTAAGGGCATCTCGCAGTAGCCAAGGGTTCGGAGGATGTCTCAGGCAAAACAGGCCTGAGTACCTCGCGATGGAACCCAGAATTGTGAGGATGTCTCAAGCGAAACGGGCCAGAGCACCTCGCGAGCCGCGAACCCACAGGTGTGAGTTGCGAGCATGTCTCAAGCCAAGCGGGCTAGAGAACCTCAAGTCAGGGCACCTCGGAGCTCGAGACCCCGAGAGTATCTTCAGCGAAACGAGCCTGAGCGCCTCGTAAACCGCATCTTCAAGCCAGAGTTGCAAGGACGTCTCAAACCAAACGGTCAGAGCCACGGACTCCGAGAATGTCTCAGGCGAAACGTGTCTGAATACCTCGCGAACCACATCTTGGAACCCACAGTTATGAGGATGTCTCAGGCGAAACGGGCCAGAGCACATCAATTCAAGGCATCTCGAAGCCTGGGGTTCTGAGGATGTCTCAGGCGAACAACGCAATGAGGATGTTACAAGTGAAACGGGACTGAAAATCTCAGGTCATGGCATCCCGGAAGCTGGGGTTGCGATGATGTCTCAAGCGAAACGGGCATGAGCACCTCGTGAACCGCATCTTCAACCCAGAATTGCGAGGACGTCTCAGGCCAAACAAGGGTCAGAGCCAGGGATACCGAGGATGTCTCAGGCGAAACGTGCCGGAGTATTTCGTGAATCACATCTTGGACCCCAATGGCCATCTCGAAGCTTGTGGTTCCGAGGATGTCTCAGGCAAAACAGGCCTGAGCATCTCGCGAACCACATCTTGGAATCCAGACTTGCGAGGACGTCTCAAGCGAGACGAGCCAGAGGACATCGCATCTTGGAGCCCGCTGTTGCGAGGGTGGCTCTCTGTAGACCATGGGGCGCACCCAACTCTTTTGAGGGCAACCCCTCCCAAGCACCTCCCCGGCACCGCCGTTGGGATTGCTGGGGACGCCCGAATCTAACCTGGGCGACCCGGGGCACCGGGGCTCAGGTGCAGACCCCCTCGCCAGCCAAGGCAAGCCCTGGATGGGGCCCAAACAGCGCCAAAAGTCAACTGAGGTGACCAGTCAGGACCATACGGCTCCGAAGCACACCTCCAGCCCATTGAACTCAACGACCGTTCGAGACATCCTCACAATCTGGCCGCGAACGGGCCCGTGACACACCCTTCGTGAGCAGAGCGCCAGCCCGCATCACCAGGCACGGTCGAGCCTCGTCCAGCCCTGGCGACGAGAAGTGTCCCGAGAGCATTGGCAACAAGAGTATCTGTCTGTTTGCAATACGAGCATTCTCGTTCCTCCCCTCGTCCTCAATCATCCTGCTACTCCTCCTCCCCCTCCCCCTTCGCCTCGCACTCCTCAACGCTTGCTCGGACCTGCGGGGGCGTCTCGTGCGAAACTGGCTCGGCCCACTCGCACGCGGCATCTCTTTGCCCATCATTGCGGGGACGTCCCAGGCGAAACAGACAGAATCACTTCGCGGGCGGCACCTTGAAGCCTGAGGCAGCGATGATGTCTCAAGCGAACAGGACGAAGCAACCTCAGGTTACGGTATCCCCGAGCCCAAAAGTTGTGAGGATGTTTCAAGCGATATGGGCCAGACCACCTCTCGCGTAGCGTCTGGGAAACCAGGTTTGCGAGGATGTGTCAAGCGAAACGGGCCAGACCATGTCAAATCTGGTCGCCTCGGAACGCTGACTTGTGAGGATGTCCCATGCGGAACGGACCGAACCACCTCAACATGCTGCCAATGTCTCGACGCGCTGGCCCATCGGGGGGCATTTGCTCTTAACGCCACAATGCCCTCTGGCACAGGCGGGGCGACCCGGGAACACTCCAAGACAAAACGTATTGAACGGAACCAAACAATAAGTTCCCATATAGATATAACCACATACATACATAATACATACATACATACATACATACATACATACATACATACATACATACATACGTACATACGAGATTCGCGTTTCACGGGCCTTACCTTGGAAACATTCGGCGGCGCGTTGCGAACCGGGGGGGGGGGCCCACCCCCAACATTCGGCGCCGTCGATCAGAACCAGGGGAACTCCCCTCCCCTTAACCTCACCCCTCCCCCAACCCCCCCACCCACCCTGGCGCCGTCGCCGGCGCCGGCGCTGGCGGCGGCCAGCAGCAGCGTCGACGGTGGGGACGCAGCAACGATGACCAGAGAGGACTCAGGGAGGGGAAGGGGGGTCCAATCTCCCTCCCCGGCGCTGGCGGCGCCAGCGCTGGCGCTGGCGGCGGCCAGCGGCCAGCAGCGCCGACGGCGGGGACGCAGCAACGATGACCAGAGAGGGCCAAGAGGCCGCAGAAGGGAAACAGAAAGCGCCATATCGAGCCCTTGCCCCCCAAAAGTCACCGAGAGGCCCTTAGGAAGGCCCAGGAGGCTTCACAAATGCTCCTCAGACGCCCCCGAGACTCCTCTGACGAGACCTCAAGAGGTATCCATTAGAACTTTGACCCAAAGCCAAAACACGGTGGCGGGAAAACCCGAAGGCCACACCACCACCACCACCACCACCACCACAACCCACCACCACCAGCACCACAATCATAACCACCACCACCACCACCACAACACACCACCACCACAACCGCCACCATCACCACAAACCACTACATCACCACCACCACCACCGAAAACGCCACGACCACCACCGCCCACAAACCACCACAACCCAACACAGCCACCACCACAAACACTACCACTTACCACCACATCACCACCACCACAATCACCACCGTCACCACCACCACCACCGAAACCCACCACCAACACAGATCAAAACACCACCGCAACCACAACCACCACCACCACCACCACCACTTACCACCACCACCACCACCAGCACCACCAACCACCACCACAACCACAACCACCACAACAAACCACCAAACCACCACCACCACAACAACCAACACCGCTACCACCACCACCACCACAGTCCACCACCACCACGACAAACCAGCACGCCACCACGACCACCACCACCGCCACCACCACTACCACCACCACAACCCCCACCTCAACCCACCACCGCCACCACAAACCACGACACAACCATCACCACCACAGCCACCACCACCACCACAACCACAACAACCCACCATTACCATCACAATCAACCACACAACCACCACCACGACCGCCACAACCACCGCCACCACCACCAGCAGCACAACCCACCACCACCACAACCACAAATCACCACACCACCACCATCACCACAAACCACCACACAACCACCACCACTACCACCACAACTACCACCACAAACCACCACACAAGCACCACCATCACCACCACCGCCACAACCACCATTTCACCACTAGAACAAGCTTCCACCGCCACCACCACCAGCAAAGCAAACTACTACACAACCGCCACAACCACCACCACGTCCGCCACCACCACCACCACTAGCACCACCTCCAGAACTTACCACCACCACCACCAACACCGCCAACACAACCACAAACCACCACACCACCACCACCACCATCACTGCACCATCACTGCCACCACCACCACAACCACAAACCACCACCACAACCACCACAACCACAAACCACCACACCACCACCACTACCACAAACCGCCACAACCACCACCACAGCAAACCACCACACCACCACCACAACAACCACCACCGCTACCACCACCACCACCACAACAAACCATCACCACAACCACTACAACCACCACAACCACCACTACAAACCACCACCATAACCACCACCACCACCAAAATCACCACCACCAACCACCACACCACCACCACCACCACCGCCACATTCACCAACACCCACCACCACCACCACAGCCCACCACCAGCAGCACCTCAGAGAGGCCCCAAGAAATGCCCAAGATGCGCCCAGGAGGCTTCGCAAATGCCTTGTCAGATGCCCCCGAGAGCCCTCCGACGAGAACCCAGGAGGCATCTAGGACTCTGACACAAAACCAAGGCACGGTGGCGGAGTGTCTTCGTCGTCGTCGT